TCCTCCGCAAATTTATTTTATTTCAAATTATGTGACTGTATATGGGTCTGTGGAAACGTGAGTGGAGGCCAGAAGAGGGCGTCAGATCTCCTGGAGCTGGAGTTGCGGGTGGTTATGAGCTGCCTCATGTGGGAACCAAACTTGGGCCCTCTGGAATTGCAGCACTCTTAACCACTGAGCCACCTCTCTGGCTCCTTGGAATCTTAAGCAGAGGGAAGCCACAAATGCAAAGGCCCAGGGGCAGCTCCCCATTAGATGTGTTTTTGGAAAAGAAACAAGGCCCCAGGACAGCAGCAGTTCAGATGACAGTATCTCCCTTCGAGACCCAGGCAGAGCTCTGTGGTTCCAGGACCTTTTATGACACCATTAGATCATAATCTAAGTGCTATGGGAAACTTAGAAACATTTTAACCGGTAAGTGATAGAAAGAAATGAATCGCTGTGTATTTTTACAACATGTCTCATGTAGTCCTGGTGGGTGTGGGAGGCTGGGAGAGTGATACAGGGAGGCCCCTGCACCTCTGCACCCTGCAAGCATGCTTACCTGTTGGGATTGGGTCCCAGGAAACAGTGGTGTGGGCACAGCACCATCCCTCCACAGCCTGCCCACCCACTGGGGCTGTGGGTCCTACACCTGGCATGTGGATACATGCAGCCCACTACCACCGGAGGGTGGGTACCTTGCTGCCTCTCATCCCCTGGGGAGACCCTGTGGCACCTCTTCCCTGCAGTGCATCTTAACGGGTCTGCTTGGCGCCTTAGCCTGCCGAGCCTGCTCTTGTTGGGGCCTGCCCACTGCTGGTGCTGACCCAGGAAGCGCCCTGCACAGCACAGCGGGAGGGAGAAGCCAGGGCAGGCGGCAAGCACCCAGCTTCCTGGGCTGCGGCAGCAGAGTGAGCAGTCCTGGGACCAGGGTAAGAACTTATTGCCCCGGGTTTCAACATCAGAAGCAATACAATACTTCAGGGTGGGGTTTCAGGGGCTTGGCCAGAGTGGTTTAGGGTCCCCTCCTGCTTTCAGGGGGCTGTGTCAGTGTATGGCTCCTGGTTTGGGGTTGCAAAAGGGAGTAAGGCAAGAACAGGGGACTGGAGAGTGGGGAGCACGTGCTTTTGGGTCCCAAGTGTATCTGCCTCTGTCTTGTTTGCTGTTTGCTGAAGTGCTTGAACTCCATGCACCCCCAAACAAAGTGGACAGGAGGGGTGAAGCTGGCAGGATGGGGCAGATGTCTGTTGTCTTCTGTCCCAGGCTTCCAGAACTAGGGTGAGGCGGACTTTTCTGGTCCCAGCTCACAAGCTCTGTGCACCCAGCTCACTGGGGCCTCTGAGGGTTAGCTGCAGCTCCTCTCCCCCTTGCCCTGGAAGGTTAACTCTTCAGAGCCTTTGGAGAGCAAGACAACCAGAAAAACGAGCCTAGCCTGTCTTTCTCAGGAATGCTCCACATAGGGCCCACAGCCAGGGTGTTCCTGGGAATGGGGCTGGCGGGCCAGGCCGGGCTCCAGTCCTTTCACTAGGTCCCTGAACTGTCCTCTGCCCCTGGCCCTACTCTGCCCAGGCTCTACTCTGTGGGACACAGAGGACATTAGTTCAAGGAGAACCAGTTCCCATGGACCAGTTCTGACCTGGCCACCCACCTTGTGACCTGGGGCAAGCCTGGGACTGTCTGCCCATGAGGACAGAACTCCATCATCTTGAGGATCCATTTAGGCTGTGACAGTCCCAGAGTGTAGGAGCTACCTGTCCAGGTCAGGCCCTATCCAGAGGGTGTGGGGATGGGACAAGCAGCCCTGTGGGGTAGGTGAAGCAGCCCCAGGATGTGACTTGAGGAATTCCCAGGCCTGATTTTTCCCTGATGGGTTCAAGGCCCTGAGGGCAACCTTGCTTTTAGTTTCCCATGATTAATAATGACAGATATTGTTAACACTTACGCTATATGTGCTGGGCACCCTGCTGATCATTCACCTTCATTTTCCCATATACTTTTAATTAAAAATAGTTATTATTTTTATTTTTTTATGTGTGTGAGCATATTGCTTGTGTGTACGTAAGTGCATCTGTGCCATGCAATGTCTGAGGATGTCAGAAGAGGGCATCAGATCCCCTGGAACTGGAGTTATGGATGGTTATTAGCCACCATGCGGGTGCTGGGAATTGAACCTGGGTCCTCTGCAAGAGCAACCGATGTTCTTAACTGCTGAGCCATTTCTCCAGGGCACTTCCCCCTCACTTAATTTTTATAATGGTTTTGTGAGATAGATGCTTTTTTTGAAATAGGATCTCACGTAGCCCAGGCTGCCCTCAAACTCACTATGCAGATAAGGATGACCTTGAATTTCTGATCCTAGTATCCCTATGTCCCCATGGGATTACAGGTGTATATCACCACACCAGGGTCATGAAGTGGTTGGCATGGAACCTAGAGCTTTGTGTACAAGCACTCAACCAACTAAGCCACATCCCCAGATTCAGATCATCCATCCATACATACATACATATGTATATTTTATTTTTATTTTTAATCATGTGTGTGTAAGGGATTGTGCATGTGAGTGTAGGTACCTGTGGAGGCCACAAGAGGGTGCCTGATCCCCTGGCGCTGGAGTTACTAGTGGTGGTGAGCCACACGATGTGGGTGCTGGGAACTGAATTCCTCTGGAAGATCAGTGTGTGCTCTTAACTGCTGATCCATCTCTTCAGCCCCATCTAGAAAATAATTTTATCTCTATGTAATGGAAGAAGAAATTGAGGTTCACAGAGATCAGCAACTTGTTGGTGAGTCACCCACTTAGCAAACAAGGAGTCGGAGCAGAGATCCAGGTACCCTGGTGCCAGGCCTGGGAACTAATGACCTCATTTTTCTGCAGCCTCTATGTATCTATGTATCTAAGCAGATACATCTCTGTTTATTTGGGACTCAGCCCTGGTGGAAGAGCCTGACAAGGAGAGACAGCTAAGCTTGGGTCCCTAGCTAAGAGTAGGATATATCTGTTGGAGGCCCCTGAGAGAGTATTTCAAGTTGTCTGTGTTCAAGAGGAGTCAGACCCAGGGTCTGTCCACAGCGATCAGTGGAGTCACAGGTGTAGGTAAGACTTCCTGCACACAGGCACCATTGAGGAATCAGATACATGGTGGTGGGGGACGTATCCCTGTAGGATGTCATGCCTTGTAGGATGGAACCCCAGCCTCTGCCTCTGAGCCTGCAGCACAGTTCCCCCACAAGCTGAGGCAGCCTAAATTACCTCCAGACATTGAAAAATGTCCCCTTTGGGCAAAAACTCTTCTGTTAAGAACCACAAGGGCATCACTGATTGCTGAGAGAGAGGGCTAACCCCTCTCTGAGGATCTGTAGGCAGCTGATGGTCACTAGGAGAGGGAGAGACATTTCCTTTGGTGGTGTAGCTGCTGCTTAGTGCCCATGCTCCTGTAAATAACCCCTCACCTGTTCTCCTGTAAGCGGCACTAGTGCAACTCACAGGTCACCAAAAAGAAAGAAGAAAGACACACGAGTAGAGAAGATGAAGTGGGTCAGCAGGAATTGGGAGGACAAAAGGGACGAATATCACCAAATTCATTAAATACACGTATGAAAATGTCGTTGTGGAACCCACTGTTAGCTATAGTTAATATATGCTAATAAAAAAAAACTTTAAAAAAACATGGAGGTAGTTGCCATGTCCTTCCTAACTTACACCCTTCCTTTTCTGTTTAAGGAGTGTCCCACCATGACTCTTGCCTTGCTGGGTCTGGCCATCCTGGTGCTCCATCGTGTGACCTGTGAGAAAGCCCTGGAACGAACCATCTCCCCGTCGGCTTGGCGCTTCACCCATTCCCTGTACAACGCCACCATCTATGAAAACTCTGCTCCCAAGACGTACGTAGAGAGCCCCGTGAAGATGGGCATGTACCTGGCAGAGTCCCAGTTGGCGGTGAGGTATAGGATCATCTCCGGAGATGCGGCTGGTGTGTTCAAGACTGAGGAGTATGTGGTGGGCAACTTCTGCTTTCTGAGAATCAGAACCAAGGGCAGCAACACGGCGCTGCTGAACAGGGAGGTGCAGGACAGCTACACACTCATTGTACAAGCCTCAGACAAGAATCAGGAGCTGGAAGCCCTGACCCGTGTAGTGGTCCACATCCTGGACCAGAACGACCTGAAGCCCCTCTTTTCCCCTCCTTCCTACAGAGTCACCATCTCTGAGGATGTGCCCCTCAAGAGCCCTATCTGCAAAGTAACAGCTACGGACGCCGACCTGGGCCAGAACGGAGAGTTCTATTATGCCTTTAATGCCAGGTCAGACGTGTTTGCTCTCCATCCCACCAGTGGGGTGGTCACCGTGGCCGGGAAGATGAACATTACCTGGCGAGGGAAATATGAGCTCCAGGTGCTGGCTGTGGACCGCATGCTAAAAATCTCGGAGGGCAAAGGGTTTGGCAACTTGGCCTCGCTGGTTGTTCACGTGGAGCCTGCACCTAAAAAGCCCCCAGCCATCACCTCAGTGGTCCTGACTCCACCAGATGGTGATGAAGATGCCCCCTATGCCACTGTCCTGGTGGATGCAAACGACTCAGGAGCTGAAGTGGATTCCCTGGAGGTAGTTGGTGGTGACCCTGGAAAGTTCTTTAAAGCCATCAGGTCCTACGCCCGGGGCAACGAGTTCAATCTGGTATCAGTCAAGGACATTAACTGGGCCGAGCACCTTCAGGGCTTCAACCTCAGTCTCCGGGCCCGGAGTTGGAGCAGAACTTCCTCCCAGTCCTCCATCAGGGCCTTCCACCTCCCTCCCCCTATGCTGCCCTACCTCAGATTTGAGAAGGCCATTTACAGAGTAAAGCTCAGTGAGTTCTCCCCTCCTGGAAGTCGCGTGGTGCTGGTAAAGGTCACCCCAGCCCTGTTCGCTCTACGCTATGCTCTGAAGCCATCCCCCGGGAGCTCGGCCTTCAAGCTGAATGCTCACACAGGCCTCATCACCACCACGAAGCTTGTGGACTTCCATGACCAAGCCCAGTACCAGCTCCATGTGAGAGCCTCCCCAGGCCCAGCCACCACCATGGTGATCATTGACATAGTGGACTGTAACAACCATGCCCCTGTCTTCAACAGGTCTTCCTATGACAGCACCTTGGATGAGAACATCCCTCCAGGCACCAGCATTTTGACTGTGACAGCCACAGACTGGGATCACGGGGATAACGGACATGTCACCTATGCCATCGCTGGCCCCAAGGCTGTGCCGTTCTCTATTGACCCTTACCTGGGGGTCATCTCCACCACCAAACCTATGGACTATGAACTCATGAAAAGGATCTATACCTTCAGGGTACGGGCATCAGACTGGGGGTCCCCTTTTCGCCAGGAGAAGGAGGTGTCAGTTTCGCTGAGACTCAAGAACTTGAATGACAACCAGCCTATGTTTGAGGAGGTCAACTGTACAGTATCCCTTCGCCAAGACACACCAGTTGGGAAATCAATCATGGCCATGTCTGCCATCGACGTGGATGAGCTTCAGAACCTAAGATATGAGATTGTGTCTGGCAACGAACAGGAGCATTTTCATCTGAACCATTTCTCCGGGGTCATATCCCTCAAACGTTCACTGATGAATCATACTGCTGGTTGGCCCAGGAGCTATTCCCTGAAGATTACAGCCTCGGATGGCAGGAATTATGCCTCCCCCACAACCCTGAATGTCACTGTGGTGAAGGACTCTCACTCTGAGGTCCCTGTACAGTGCGATAAAACTGGGGTGCTGACCCATTTCACAAAGACCATCCTCCACTCTGTTGGGCTTCAGGACCAGGAGTTGGAGGAAGAGGAATTTGCCTCCCTTAGCAACTATCAGATCAACCATCATGCCCCCCAGTTTGCAGACCACTTCCCCCAGTCCATTGACATAGTGGAGCAGGTTCCCATCAACACCCTCTTGGCCCATCTGGCAGCCACTGACCCTGACACTGGCTTTCCTGGCAAACTGGTCTATGTGATTCCAGAGGGCAATGAAGAGGGTTGTTTTGACATTGAGCTGGAGACGGGGCTGCTCACCGTAGCAGCGGCATTGGACTATGAGACCACCAACTTCTATGTCCTCAATGTGACCGTGTATGACCTGGGCACTCCTCAGAAGTCCTCCTGGAAGCTGCTGACGGTGACTGTGAATGACTGGAATGATAACCCACCCAGGTTTCCTCCAGGTGGGTACCAGCTCACTGTCTCCGAGGACACAGAAGTTGGAACCACAATCGCAAAACTACAGACAGAAGATGCCGACTCAGAGGACAACTCAAGGGTTCGATACACCCTGCTAAGCCCCACAGAGAAGTTCTCTCTCCACCCTCTCACTGGGGAGCTGGTTGTCACAGGACACCTGGACCGGGAATCAGAGCCTCGGTACATACTCAAGGTAGAGGCCAGGGACCAGCCTAGGAAGGGCCACCAGCTCTTCTCTGTCACTGACTTGATCATCACACTGGAGGATGCCAATGATAACCCGCCCCAGTGCATCATGGAACACGGCAGCCTGAAAGTCCCTGAGGATCTGCCCCCTGGGACTATCTTGACCTTCCTGGATGCCTCTGACCCTGACCTGGGCCCTGCAGGGGAAGTGAGATTTGTCCTGGTGGATGACATTCATGGAACTTTCCGGTTGGACCCAGTGACTGGAGCTCTGAGTCTGGAAAGGGAGTTGGACTTTGAGAGGCGGGCTGGCTACAACCTGAGCCTGTGGGCTCGTGACAGTGGGCAGCCCCTGGCCCGCAGGACTCTCTGCCACATGGAGGTGCTGGTCCTGGATGTAAATGAGAATCTCCACGCACCCCGCTTCGCCTTCTTTGTTCAGCAGGGCCAGGTGCAGGAGAACAGCCCCGCAGGGACTCAGGTGATGCTGGTCACGGCCCATGATGATGACGGTGGCTTGGATGGGGAGCTCCAATACTTCCTAAGGGCAGGCACTGGGCTGGACAGCTTCAGCATCAACCAGGAAACAGGTATGGGGGGAGATACATGGGCTGGGAGGGCAGTGGGTGAAGGGAAGGGAGCGGCTGTGCTTCCGGTGGCCAGCGGGGAGTTTGCCTTCCTGTTCCTACTTTAAATTTGTCTCTGCTAGAGATGTTATTTCACTATTTTTATTTACTTATTTATTTATTTATTCATTTATTTATTTATTTACTTATTTATTTTATTGTTTTGGTCTTTTTGAGACAGGGTCTCCCTGTAGCCCCAGCTGTCCTGGAACTCACCATGAAGACCAGGCTGGCCTCGAACTCACGGAGATCCACCTGTCTCTGCCTCCCAAGTGCTGGGGTTAAAGGCGTGGCACCACCTCGCCTGGCTTTCATTGTTTTTATTATGATGAAAACATAATACAATAGATTCAAGCTCTGGACTGACTTTTCTTCACAGTGTAGTCCCAGTACCTTTTGTTTGTTATGGTTGCATATTAATTTATCCTGTAGACATCCACCCTTCTTTGTATACTCATCAAAATGAGTTTCCACCAGAAAAGCTCTTTAAAATGAGGTTAGGCCTGTGGAGACAGCATTGTGTATAAAACACTTGCAGGCAGGTTTGAGAACCTGATTTCAGGTCCCCAGAACCCAAGCAATAGTGCACATCTGTAACCAGGTAATGCCAGATGCAATAGGTCACATGTGTAACCAGGTAAAGCCAGACTCAGTAGTGCACATCTGTAATCCCAACAGAGACAGGAGAATTCCTACAGTTCAACAGCAAACAACAGAGAGGTCCTGCCTCAAACAAGTTGGAAAGGGAGGAGGACCTCCTTAGACTGTCATCCGACCTCCACACACATGCCGTGGTATATGCGTTGCTTGCACTCATACACATGAACAGGCACATACACAGTACACATACGCACAAAGATAAAATAATTAGGTTACCAGGTCAAAAGATAGTGTGTGTGTGTGTGTGTGTGTGTGTCTGTGCATCTGTGCGTGTGTGTGTCTGTGTGTGTGTGTGTGTCTGTGTGTGTGTGTCTGTGTATGTCTGTGTGTGTGTCTGTGTGTTTGTGTGTGTGTGTGTGTGTGTGTCTGTGTGTGTGTCTGTGCGTGTGTGTGTCTGTGCATCTGTGCGTGTGTCTGTGTGGTGTCTGTGTGTGTGTGTGTGTGTCTGTGTATGTCTGTGTGTCTGTGTATGTCTGTGTGTGTGTGTCTGTGTGTTTGTGTGTGTGTGTGTGTGTGTGTCTGTGTGTGTGTCTGTGCGTGTGTGTGTCTGTGCATCTGTGCGTGTGTCTGTGTGGTGTCTGTGTGTGTGTGTGTGTGTCTGTGTATGTCTGTGTGTCTGTGTATGTCTGTGTGTGTGTGTCTGTGTGTTTGTGTGTGTGTGTGTGTGTGTGTCTGTGTGTGTGTCTGTGCGTGTGTGTGTCTGTGCATCTGTGCGTGTGTCTGTGTGTTGTCTGTGTGTGTGTGTGTGTGTCTGTGTATGTCTGTGTGTCTGTGTATGTCTGTGTGTGTGTGTGTGTGTCTGTGTGTGTGTGTCTGTGTGTCTGTGTATGTCTGTGTGTGTGTGTGTGTCTGTGTGTGTGTCTGTGCGTGTGTGTGTCTGTGCATCTGTGCGTGTGTCTGTGTGTTGTCTGTGTGTGTGTGTGTGTGTGGTCTGTGTGTGTGTGTCTGTGTGTCTGTGTATGTCTGTGTGTGTGTGTCTGTGTGTCTCTGTCTGTGTGTGTCTCTGTCTGTGTGTTGCTAGGGATCAAGCCCCAGAGCCTTACTGTGTCTAATAGGCACTCAGTCACTGGTATCTGTTCCAGCCTACTGTCTCTTTTCAAAGGTAGAATATTGTATTAGTTGCTTTTCTTGTTTCTGTGGCAAAATATCTGACAAAAGCGGGAAGGAAGTGTTCATATTTTTCTCACAGGTTGGGGGTGGGAAGAGCTGTCAGCAGGAGTGTGGCAGCCGGTCCTCTGATCTATCGTTGGGAAGCAGAGGGAGAGGCTGGCACTCAGCTTGCTTTCCCCTTTTCCTCTTTGTATAAGTCCAAGACCCCAGTCCAATGGATGGCGCTGCCTGTGTTGAGAGTGGGTCTTCCCACATCATTTAAACCTCTCTGGAAACTCCCTCAAAGATATACCCAGAGGTGTGTCTCCTAGGTGATTTCAAATCCAGTCAACTTGGCAATAAAGACAAGCCATCACATACATATTTTCAAATTGTTCCCCCCGAAAGGTGCTTATTCTTTTCTTAAGCTTTGCAGAAAATAAATGCGATTCAGCAAACACAAACATGTGAGACATCTGTGCGGAGGCCGTCTGGGGAGACCCAGGAAGGCTGGGGGCAGGCCACTGCTTCAGTCACTCACACTGCTGGATGGTTTGCTTCCAGGGTGAAGGGCAGGCGGTGTGGCGGGAAGAACACTGGATTCAGCCAATTCCATGCCCAGCTTCCACTTACTTGCTGCATAATCTTGGCCCATTCATGCTCCCTCTCCAGGCCTCAGTTTCCCTATCTGTCCCCTCTGGCCTACTTGGCTCTGATTGCAAGCTTCTCGTGCCCGTTGTTGGAGCTCCTACAGGCAATCTGCAGAGAGAGTGAGCAGAAGAATGGACCTAAGCCCTGTTGTTGGAGCTTCTGGAACAGACCTGGCTCCTACAGGCAATCTGCAGAGAGAGTGAGCAGAAGAATGGACCTAAGCCCCTAAAACCAAGAAGGTGGCAGAGAAGGGGCAGAAGTTAGTTATTCCTCCAACCTCTAACCCTTTGCTTCAGGGTAAAGAATTTAGAGTGCAGGAGACAGCTTACGGTCAACCACCGGAAATCCCATTCACGAAATGTGATGTAACTCAATGGAACTTGGGTTGAAGGAGTCAGGAGGAAGTAGGTCCATGAGCACTATCTTGTGGAAGACCTATCTATGTCCACATACCACAGTCAAGTGCCCATTTTAGCAAAGAAAGGATCAGAGAAGGTCTATAATGTGGGCATTAATTCCCCTGTCCAGTTCAGCATCCCCACCTCAGACTGGCCACCCTACCCTGTGTGCCTGGATTGTCCATCAGCAACTGTAGAAATCGGGATATTAGGTAGGGTGATTTCTCTTTTTCTTTTTAGTCATTTTATGTATATCTTCATGCATGTATGTGTGTATATGTGTTCATGTATGCATGCACATGTATGCTGTTATGCCCATACATATGTGTACAAGCATATGGAAGCCAGAGGTTGATGTTAGGCATCTTTTAGTTCTCCATCCTGTTTCTTGAGACAGAGCTCACCAATTCAGCGAGATTGTCTAGCCAGCTAGCCCCACAGAGCCTCCTGTCTCCAGTGCCGGGGTTACAGGCACATGCCATCATGCCCAGCTTTGTATGGGTGCTGGGGATCTGAACTCAGGTCCTCATGCTTACAGGGCAAGGCCTTCCCTGACTGAACCATCTCCCCAGCCCTGGGTAGGGTGATTCCTAAAGCCGCTTTGAGCTCTAAGTATGTTGGGTTTGGCTCCCAGGAATGATTGAGACCCTGGCACCTCTGGACCGAGAATTCGTACCCTACTACTGGCTGACGGTATTGGCTGTGGACAAGGGCTCTGTACCCCTCTCTTCTGTCACTGAAGTCTACATTGAGGTTACGGATGTCAACGACAACCCACCTCGGCTGTCCAGACCTGTGTTCTACCCTTCTATCCCTGAGGATGCACTCTTGGGTGCCTCTGTGCTTCAGCTGGATGCCTGGGACCCAGATTCCAGCTCCCAAGGGCAGCTGACCTTCAACCTCACCAGCGGGAACCACATGGGGTTCTTTACCATTCATCCGTTCACAGGTAAGGCCTAGAAAGTGGGGGGACATGGTGGAGAGCTACAACTGAGGTTTGACCTCAACAGCCCACCCCACAACTTGCTCTTGCCCCGAAGGAAGGACAAACTCTTGAAGGAAAGGAAGGGAGATGCTTGTGGACTTTCCCTGATCCTTAAGATAAGAGGGACTCAGGAAGAGCCCCAAGTCTGGGAGCCCTGGGGCAGAGAGTAGGTGAGGAACTCAGGCATGGATGACAGTAGAGACAGTTATTGAAAGCCCTTTCTGTTAACCTTTGACCTCAGGGTCTGGAGGAATCCTCAATCTGAGCAGGATAAGCTTTTCTTTTGGAAAACAAGCCCAGGCTGGCTCTCCCCGAGGCTTACCCAGTGTCCCCAGCGCCCCCACGCCCCCAACCCACCGCCCTCAGCCCTCCTTTTCAAGAGTGAAGAGATCTCTCACCTAAGGCATTAGCTTCTCAGCTTCTTCCAAATCCCTGTTCTGTTTACTGTCAACAGTCCTGACAGCAGACCTGGCAGGCTGCCCCCAGCAGAGGCATCAACAGTCCTTTACAGCAGACCTGGCAGGCTGCCCTCAGCAGAGGCATCCTCAGAGTTCCTAGCTAGCATGAAACTTTGTTTTGGTTTTTAGCATGAGAATATACCCATGTATCCGCCATGAGCCCTCAGTCCACCTTCCTCACAGAAGCTCTGAACCACCACCATGTCCCTGTTGCGCCAGCTCAGAAGCTTTCCCGACTCCTCTTTTTTAAAAGTTTTATTTGTTATTTATTGTTATTCTATGTGTATGAGTGTTATGCCTACATGTACGTAAGTGCACCCATGTCATACAGTACTCATGGAAGACAGAAGAGGGTGTCGGATCCCCTGGAACTGGAGTTACGGACAGTTGTTAGCTGCCATGGAGGGGCTGGGATTTGAACCCAGGTCTTCTACAAGAACAGCCAGTGCTCTTAACTGCTGACCATCTCTCCAGCCCTGTCTCTCCTCTCTTTATCGTGTGGCTTCTAGTCTCCTACAGACCCCAGTCCAGCTGTATTTCCTGATACCACACTTGCTGGGCTGATAACTTATCTTACAGCCCATTACGTTCATCTGAGTGTCCACTAACTCTCCATGGCCACTGGACTTCCCCAGTTCTCTGGAAAAGGGATCTTGACTCCTTTTGCCTGCCACAGAGACGTCAGTATCTGGGACAGAGAGTTTAATCAGTAATTGTCAAATGGATGACTGAGTCCTTTAAGTTGTCTACATTATTGAGTTAAGCTCTGCACTTACCCAGCAAATGTTTAGAGAGAAGTGAAGGGAAATAAGATTCTTGGCCTCAGGGAAGTCAGCCCATCAGGATCATAAAGATTGGAGGGGGGCGGTAAATACTGCAGAAATAGCACAAAAGGATATCAGAGAGTAAAGTATAGGTATGGCTGCTCGGGGACAGAGGAAGCTGCCCGGTGTGGTAGAGCTGGAGAGGCTTCACGGAGGGCTGGGGAGGATTTCGACAGGCAGCAGGACGGACACGAGAACAGCAGAGTGCCACGAGTCCCTTCAGGAAGAGGAAGATCAGGGTCTCACTGAGGACAGAGCAGGTGTGTCAGCGACCTATAGACATAGCCCAGTTCCACCACTTATAAGTGGAGAAGAGTTGGGAAAGTTACTGGACTGTTGTCGTAGTCCTTTGTATGTTACTATAGTGGAGTACCACCACAGGCTGGGCGCTTGATGAGGAACACAGGTTGATTTAGTGTGTGGCTCTGGAGTTTCAAAGTCTAAGAACCTGCTGCTAGGTGTGGTATGGTAACACGACAGAGGGCATCATCTAGAAGATGTTCCCTGGGGGCCTCCTGTGATTCACCTGTGCCAGCCCAGCATGCTAGAGATGGTCCAAGTGTCCAGGTGAGTAACAGCATTAACAAGGGGCAAAAAGCTACAGCTGTGAGTCCTCTAGAACTGAAGGCA